ATCAACCCGGACGAGGCCGTGGCGTACGGCGCGGCGGTGCACGCCGCCGTGCTGACCGGCGACAAGTTCTTCGACAGGATGGTGAAGCTCAGGGACGTGACGCCGCTGTCCTTGGGCACCTCTATCATTGGAGGTAGGTTCAGTTGCGTTATTAAGAAGAACACGCCTATTCCCTGCAAGAACACAGAGACTTACTACACCGTGTATGACAATCAGACCAAGGTGTCTTCAAAGGTGAGGCTCTTGTTTTTGGCTTGCTCCATGGGCTATTCGCGATGTCGCCAGTCATTTTGTATTAAGCCATGTTTCTTGTCACCAGATATATCAAGGGGAGAGGCCTCTCGTCAAAGACAATCATTACTTGAACAAGGACTACGAGATCGAGGTTCCCCCTATGCCCGCGGGCGAGGCAACTATCGATACGACTTTCGAGATCGACGAGAGTGGTTTGCTGACAGTGACGTGCGTTGAGCCCACTTCCGGGCGCCAGGTGCAGCTGAGGATCACGCCGCAGGAGGCGCATTTGGGAGAGGCAGACATCCAGGCCATGATCCAAAAGGCAAACAGCTACAGACGCGAGGACCAGGACGCTCTCCGAGACGTAGAGGAGCAGCTCCGAAGGCAACGCCTCTTGTAAATTAGTTCATTATAGTTTCTCTTCCCCCTTTTTGATCATTTATTTGATTTGCAATGCGTTCGTATTTGAGGAAAATTGTCGGTATTGTGTTTACTGACGAGGCACTACCGAATCGGACCGGACATGCGCCACAAGGCTGAGGGTTGGCAGTGAAAACGCGAAAGACTGTGTCTTCTAAAATGCAGAATTTGTTATACTTGGTATTTTTTTTTCTGTTTGCAAGTATTTTGTAAATTTTGTTGTTTTGCTATTTTGTACAATTTTTTGGAACAGATGTGCAAATTAGTGAGCGCTCACTTGTATAATAAATGTAAGTGTTTTTCTATGTGACTCTTATTGTTTTCACACATCAAATCCGATTTGCACACATACAAATCCAACATCATTACATTAGTCCCTATGCACTAAACAAACAAACGAAACGAGTTGGCTTCCAAACTGTGTTCAATAAATTTATTTGCCGATATTAGTCCGGACAATATGCGCTCTAGTTGGCCATTCGATTTCAATACATCTTTTTTATTACATTTTTTTTTTCTGATTTGTACCACTTGTCGTGCAGTGATGAGTAAAGAGATATAGTTGAGATACACGCACGCCACGAGAGCTCTGTTATCGGAGTGGGCATGCCCTGCCGGGGAATAGCGTAGTCGGCGAGTGGCCGTAGGTATTCCCCTCGGTGCCGCGGACGGCCCGGCGGCGGCCGGCCGGGACGGACGGGCCGGGGCGAGCGAGGCGGTCGTCAAGCTGCCAGCGCAGCGGCGCGCTTCGAGTTCTCGCCGCGTCGTCTGCTGAGTCGGTCCGAGCCCGACGCGGCCCCGTCAGTGTCGGCGGATCAGCGGACGTGAACGCACCTACCTCAACGAGAACAAAACTTTCCTTTTACTTATTTTGAAGTACAGTGGCTGCTTTGCGGTGCCGGGCGCGCGGGGGTGTGGCCGTTGGAAGAGACCCCGCGACCTCGAAGCGAGGAGCCGTCCTCTTTTCGCTGTGAAGGTAAAAACAAGTTTGTGTTCAAAGTAATGATAACTAATGTATCAAGGCGTTTTGATGTGGTTAGTCACTAACCGTTAGTGGCCTAGTGACATTCCCTGCTCAGCGGCTGACCAGCCCGTCGGTAGAATTACCTTAGGAAGCTGACAAAAGCAAGCATTCAAGGGGTTCAAGTATCCGGATCCGCACTGTTCTTTGCCCTTGTTATCGGTGAGTGAGCGGGGGGGGCGTGTTCATCTACGACCTGGGCGGCGGGACCTTC